CGTAAATACGAACCACAACATCGAATTTTTAAATCTCGTAAATAAGAATCGCAACGTACAATATTCAAATCGCGTGAATAAGAATCACAACACGCAAATATGAAAAGCTACGTTTGATATTAAAATCGTGTGAATAAGTATCGAGATGTTAGCAGATTTCAGGCTTGCAACATCTAAATGGCTTGTCAGAAGCAGTGTCGTTTGAACTACGGAAATCGGATCTATCTGGAAGGCGGGTAAAAAATTCGAAAAATCTTATCTGCTGCGTGTAAAAGGGGTGAAAATAGCTAAAATAAATAAAAATGAGAAAGGATTGGTAGCTATGTAGTTTGAATTTTCTGTTTCTCTCTGAAAATCGGTGAATTTTCTGAAAAAGCGGAATACTTATAAAAAAAAAGTGAAATTTTTAGAAAATCTGAATTTTTGATAAAAAAGCTGAAATTCAAGAGATAAAAGTGAAAAAATCGGAAATCCGCTAAAAAGCGGAAAAATCTCATCCCTGTTTTTACAAACGCTACGCACCCTGTTCTCATATAACAGAGAGGATAAAACTAAATGTTCCCTCCGTTACACAAAATGTAAACAAAGCTGATTGGTTGATGCTTACTAAAAAAGAACTCTAGGAATGTATACAAGTGCTAATGCATTCTGATTCTACTAGTTTTATCCAGTTTCTCCAATGTAAAACCTTAAAATTTCTTAAAAAACTCCCAGAATGGAACTAAAGATAAAGCAATATATTTGAACAACAAAAATGCAAAGTATGCACAGGTACACCAATTCATACACTTGTTAGGAAAAATGTCTGAGAAAAAAATTGTGACCCAAGGTCCAAAGACTCAGGCCAAAAGCCTGAAAGTTGGCAGCTCTGATTTTTAGATAACTTGTAAGATATAGTTCTACTCACAAGGGAAACTAGGGAAGTGTGACTCGGCAATTTTGAAATAAACTAGTCGAATGTATGCCTTATGAGGAATAATTTTAGGGGGGGCAACATTAGTTTCGGCCCATAGAAGGTCCTGTGAGAGATAAAAAATAACTCAATTCATAGAAAAATCGGTATTTTATTACTTCAATGCAGACTATTAGTTATTGTAATTGTCTCATACTTCAATTAATTTGTAATTAGTTGGTTAATTAATTAATCTGCCAATTAATAAATTAATTAGCAAATTAATTAATCACTAATTACTTAATTAATTGATTTGCAATTACATACACCAATTAATTTAGAAAAAAAAATTTTAGAAAAATTTTAAAAATTTAATGTCAATTTTTTTTTAAAATTAACTTATCAGGTTTTTCTGAAAAACTACAGATATATAAAATTTTTGAAATCAATTTTGACTATAAATACGCATTATATAGTACGTAAAAGTACCACAAAATTAATTGGAGTATGAGATAATTACAATAACTAATAGTCTTCATTGAAGTAATAAAATACCGATTTCTCTATATATTGAATTATTTTTTATCTGTCACAGGACCTTCTATGGGCCGAAACGAATGTTGTATTCCTCATAAGGCATACATCCTACTAGTTTATTTCAAAATTGGCGAGTCACACTCCCCTAGTTTCCCTTGTCAGAGTATAAGAGAGATGTAGCTTAATAATAAAATTTAACTTACTTCAATGTTTTTCGGGGATGTGACCATCAACTGCCATGTTGACAGTTCCTATAGGAGTACAAAAGAGTTTGCCTTCAAATTCCTTCGTTATGGTTACTTGACAAGCTAAAACAATTAGAGTTATTGAATAATTAATAAACTTGTTTCAGATTTAAAGAAAAATTCACAAAAATCAAGAAAAATCTAACTTTTTTATTACAAACCCTGAATTTAATAGAACTCATTGAATAAGGGGGGAAATTCAATACTTTCTACAACTGATTTCTAGTTTCCAAATAGTTGGATTTCTTGCTTCATTGTTTCTTAGCCATAACCTTTCAATTTTTCAAAGAAGTGTAATCTACTCCTGCTATTTTATTCTTTTTGTTTAAAATCAGCAGAAATTCTTCTTTGTTTTAAAACATGCAAAACTCAATAAATAAACAAGATCAAATCGAGGAAAATACCATTAATTTACAGTTGCACAACTTGGGGGACCAGGGCCACAAATAGTGCTATATGTATCTATTTAGTGAGCATTTATTTTTTGAGCTTTATTATGACTTTGACAAATTAACTCAATTACAATTGCAATTTAATGAATGGTTTTAGTTCGAAGATTAACAAGTTGAATAAAATAAAAGATAAAGTTATTTACTTTTAAATTAAAATATTAAATGTTGCACTTCATAAATGGAGAGTCATGTGTACAAAGAAGCAAACTGATATATTAACTATCCCAAAAACTTGGTGAAGTTTTAATGAACTGGTTTTGTAGGAGCAGCATCATCCAATTAAAAAAAAGGGGAAATAAAATTTAAAATTTTGTAATAATAATAATGAGTTGTGAAAAAATATGTTTATTTTAAAATGAACAGTTTCCTTCATAGTTTTTAATATTTCATATAAATTTGTAGTTTTATAAAATACATTTCATAAATATATGTGCTAATCAATTAGCACAATTTTGTGAAAATACATTTACTTTATAATCTGTGTCCAGCTCTTTTAAGTACTGTTTTTTTATGCATTAGTAGCCATAAAATAATCTAAATATTTTTTTGTATTTAATTCAAGTGATTGAGCTGACAGAATTACTCCTTTTTAACTTCAAACAAAGCATTCTCTGTTTTAAAAAAAATAAATACATAAAAAACAAAAAAACGAAAAATCAGCCTAATGACAAAAATTTGATTTTTAGGAATTTTTTTTATCATTTTACTAGATTGATTTCATACTTTTAATTAAATACAGAGATTCATCCACACATGAAATTTAATAACATTACACACAGTATCAAATAAATTTATTTCAAAAAGAGTATTAGTCCATATATTTATATCATAAGCAACACTTGTTGATTCAATATTGTTTAAATGACATAAGTGAAACAATTTTGCAATGTGTTGGCATTGTAAAACAATAGCAATTATAAACAAAAATGGAAAAGAAAGAAAAGAAAATGTATGACACAACTGCATTAATTTTTAGAAAGGCGGAAATACTCACTAGTCACTTTGTAAAACACATTTACATTTCAATTTTAAAATTTTGTTCATTGCATCATGTCATTCTGATTTAATTTTAATAATATCTTTTTTGCACAGTTAGATTTTAAGAAGCAAAATCACTAACATTTTAAATTAATTGTTCTGACACAACTTAAGAGATGTCTTAATAGTTTGAAATGATATGCTTAAAAGTTTATAAGCAGGCAATATGACAATCAGAAAACTTTTTTAATTATTTTACTTAAATTGAAAACAGCTTGCAACTTTACTTAAAAACTATAGAAGCGAATTCAACTTACAGTTTCTTGAAACACTTAATAGAAAAGAAATGGGCAAGCATTATTTATTTAGTTTAGTATTTTGCTAAAACCAATTTTAAGATTATTATCATTTTTGTGAAGAAAAAAAAAGTGATATTTCACCTGAGTGTTTCATATAGTTTTTGAAAGGGTAAGTATTTTACTTATAACTTTTAATTACAAAAATTATTTTGTATTAAAAAATTGTATTCTGTACAAAAAAAATATTTTAACAAAATATTTTTCTAAAACAAATATATATTGTTATACATACATAATCTGGAGTTGGGTTTCAAAAAGGCAGCTTTATCCAGCATATCTTGTTCCCTATCATATATAATATTACATCAATAATTTAAAAAAAAAAAAGAATATAATGTACGAAATAAAAGATGTAAAGAAAGATATATGGAATTATGCAGCACCAATTTCTTCAGTATTAAAAAAATATTTAAACATTTAAAATCAACAAAAACTATTTATAATTCAGTACAAAAAAAACTGAAACAAAACAAGCTAAAATAAAATGCATGATACTTAAAAGAATTAGAGAACTGTAATTAATACCAGAAAGGAAAAAAAAGAAAATGCAGAGTCAAAACTTTTGAATTTTACTGATTTCTTCTTCCTCTATAAAATTGATAACACACTGTGGCAGTATTTATACATTACAAATTTTTGTTGTTAATAGCAATCTACATTAAACATTAAAAAAACTACCTCAAGAGAAAAATAAAAAATACTACGAAAAAATGACATATTTAAATCTTAAAAAAAAGATCTACCAGATCTAAAAATTCTGGGTACAATAGACCTCTGTTCAAAATGCCTTGCTCCTCAGAACTGCCCAACCTCTAAGTCTAATCTAAATCTTACAATTCAGTGAATTACATTATGAATCTAACTTCTGTTTCCTTTAAAACACCCTTGGCTGGTTTAGACTATTATTTACAATATTTAACAGAAAACAATATTTAACAGAAAATAAAATAGGTAATTTATAAAATTTGCTTCCAAAAACGTGTGTCTTATTGAACAAAGAAGTTCTATTTTCCAACATACAACAGCAAAAAGAATGAAATTTGAAAAAGAAAAAAAAAAGCTCAACTTTCCGTGGTAACAAAAAACTTCAGGTTTTCCAAATTATAAGTAAAATTACATTAATTGCATATTAAACTAAAAAAAAAAAAAATACTATTTAAAGGAATTATTATATAAAATAAAATGTACATTCAATAGAATTATAAAGATATTCACTAATTTTATTTTAAGTGACAGGACTTTTCTGTTAATTAATTGTTTCAAAATATCAAAGGCCAATTAGGAGAAAATGCATTTCCACATGTTATGGAGAGAAAGGAAGGAACTAATGTAATGTCGTTAACAAAAGAATAAGCAACCAAATGAATAAAACAAGATTCCAGGGCATCAAGATGAGCTGATATAACTGAGGAAATAATTGAAGTATTTCGAATATCGGAATTGAATTTATATCCAAGATTTCAACAAAATGAAGCAATTGAAGATTTCTTGATAATGGGCATATCTGTCGAGTTCGTTAAGTCAAAATTTTAAAGCTTGTTTAGTTGGCCCAAAATTAAATGCCCCAGGAATTATCAAAGCTAATAGGATCTTTAAGAGACTTAAATTTAATTTTGTTCACAGGCCTGAAAATGACTTAAAACCAAAATGGAAGAGGACATTAGCAATGTTATAACAAACAGATAAGTTCTCTGTAAAGACTAGTAGAATCGAAGCATTTAGGCCCATTAAGTTTAGTAAGAGCTAAATGAACTAGAGAAGGGTTAAACCCACAGTTAGCAGCAAGCGAGCTGAGGAAATTAAGTGAGGAGTTTAAAAAAGAAGAGTCAGAACAAAGGTTAAGTGTACAGAAAATGAAAGCATGAAATGCAGACATTTTCTGACAATTATGGTAATTAGAATTAACAAAAGGGGCCAAAAAAGGCAAAATATTTATTATACACAGATGCGAAAAAATGATCAGGGTATTTAGTTACAAGAACATTTAAAATGAGCACATAATTAGTTTTCATGTCGAAAGTAAATAGAATGTTAGGGTCAACCAAGTAGACAACAGAAAGTAACTCTGGAAGATCAAAATCATTGTCCTGTCTACTAAGATAAATTTATAGTCAACACTTATTTTCCACCATGAGAATTTGAACAATTTAAAATCTTATTCTTTGAAATAGTATCTGTTAGAATCGTATAGTGAAATGTCAAAAATATCAATCTGAAGAGAATGTCAGAAAGAATGGGAGAGAGAAAGGGTTGCGTATGGTTAAGCCTTCAATTTGTTCATAGAAATCACCATTGAAGTGAAAAGCAGTTTGCTGAATACGAGAATTCACAAGGGAGAAAGCGCTTGAAACATGTCAACTCTTTTTTCATATATGTGTCTTTTTGAAGCAAATGAAGTTTTCAATCAGGTAATATCTTACCGCTACAGTTTCTTGGGATTATTTACTTAATATATAATACACTGTTTAACATTCGAATTTGGTTCAATATTTTTTAATCAGAATCTAACATTTTTTAAAGTGTTTCTCTAATTTTAAATGTTAATAGGCATTAAAATAATGACTTTTCAATAACCCCTCAAATTGCTATTTTAAAAATTCTGTAATTATTGAAATGTTAAATGGGTTTAAGTAATTTTAAGCTGTACAAAGAGACTACTTCAAACTTTTGAAGTAACTGATCTACATCATACAACATATGAACATGGTAAATATGCAAGGAAAATTTAATTAATTTTCTATCTTTTTAATATAATTCAAGAATCCTAAAATTTTTATATAACAAATGGGGTATATTTGATTACTTCAATCATTTTTGCCTACTTATAAATGGTCCAAATTCAAAAATCAAATTTTTGAACTGCTTAGTGGAAATGTGTAAAAAAAAAAAGTGAAATTCAGCTGATTCAAGGAAAAGAAACATGCCTGTAATTTTCTTGAATGATTATTCAATTTTAAGAATTTTAACTTTTTACAAATCGATTTCTATAAAGTTGATAAAAATATGAAAACCATATTACTCACGTATTACAATCTTATATTATACTGAAAAAGTGTTACACAATGGCTTAAAAAGAAAGAAGTTAAAGAAAAACACAAAAAAAGAAAAAATAAATAATGAAATTTAAAAATAAAAAAAAAGTAGAATTCACTATACAGTAGAGTCTCGATAGTTTGAATTTCGATTGTTCAAGTTAATAAGTTTGTTAACATGAACAAAAATCAGTCTTGCTCCCAAATAAAGACCAAGGCACACAGACCGCGGAAAGATTATTATCATTTACAACAATCACTACAGCTGAATGTTGAAAAATGAAATTACAGTTAGTGATCACTCATGAAAATGATTTGCCTCTATTCAGCCAGATAAAAAATTTCCAGGTTGCAAAAACACTAAATGCACTAAACAGTGGTAAACGACAGGCAACGTAGTGATGAACAATTAAAATTTACAGATGTAGTTACATTGTAGAAATGATCAAGACTCTATGAATGCAAGAGGACAGTGAAGAGGAGAATTTGGTAGATTCCACGCATCGAATGAGTCACAATTAGGGTATTGCTGCTATAAAGTCGGCAACGGCATACATAAAAAATGAGCCTGGGCAAACTCCAGCTAACAAAATGCTACTACAACAATGATGCGATATTGCTGCACAAAAAAGGAGCTACGTATTTAAACAAGAAACATTTGACAACTATTTTAAAGTACAATGAACCTGAAGAAGTAATATAATGAATAATGAACTTAGTGTAATGCAGAAAATGCACCCTAATCTTCTAATGTGAATAAATTTTCTTTAAATATAATATATTTTTCAATTAAATACGGAAATTTAAAAATTGCTTTGTTTTCATTTATTTAAATATTTATTAAATTTTGTGTTAACGATTATTCGAGTTTTCGAAAATTTGTGGTAAGCTCAATCTTGTCCACCTCAAATAATCGAGACCCTATTATAGTTCTGTCTACGCACTTTATTACCATCATCCATTACAGCGACTTTTCCATTGTAACAACCAATATATCAAGTGAAGTGAACTATTCCACAGATGCTTTATTACTTTAAAGCTCCCATTCATTACAAGTCTGAACTGAGCCGCTTGTTCTAATATAGCAACTGAAATTTAGCTTCATTTTTTCCCTCAAAGATTATTTTATAAATGAGTTTCCAACATTTTAATTCTTTCAAAACTAAATACTTTCATTAACATAATACTTAATTTAGCATAAGTTTAAAAGAAATTCCAAAAACTATTGTTTCTGTTAATGTCACTGCACCTTAATTTGGAATTTCTTGAATATTTTTTTTTTTTTTTTTTTTTTTTTTTTTTTTTTTTTTTTTTTTTGCCAAATGTGGGAAGAGTTACAAAATTCCAAAATTTTTATCTTACTTGGTCATGATCTACAGCAATAAGTTAGAGAAATATGGTTTACTTCACTGTAATCAAAATCAAAAGTGCATATTGCAATATAATGAGGAAATTCGCAACAAGCCCAGCAATCATTCATTTAGGTTAAAAGAATGCATTAACAATCTTTAAAAATTTCATTTAAAAAGCTAGAATACATGCATGATTATAGTTTGAAAGTTATATTCAATCTTCATGTGAAATGTTTCAGGGTGGTTTATTTTCAAATAAAAAAAAAAATTATGGATTTTGTATTGATCAGAACAGATGTTATTTATCGAAAACAGCTTCCCAGGAAAGATTCTTATTTTAATTTTTTTCTTGGCAGAAATTTATTATTTAAATAATATTTTTATGTATATTTAAGTAGCAAAAAAAAGCAAGTGATATTATTATAAAATAATATTGTTTGTTACCTAATTCTAGCATCGTTTTGTCCAATTTAGTCTAGTATTTTATTATTATAGTATATAAAAATTACTTAACTTTTTGTTTGGATGACTGAGGTTGTTATTTCATGTGTTGACTTTCTTAGGAAAAAAAACATATAAATAAACTAAACATAGTTATAGTCTTTTTCCTTTAAATTTTAAAATAATTTTTTTCAGATTCAATAATTATTTATTTAGAATCATGAAGAAATATTTATTATACATACGTTGTGCGTAGTAATTTTAGAAGAGATAAAATTGTGGGAATATTTTAAGAACAGCTTTTTATTTAGTCGAGGAATTTAAAAGAGTACATTTCCACTTGTTCAGAGCATTATGCTTTATGGATAGTATTTTTCCTCCAATTTTATCATTAAAAAAGAAAAGATGGATGGGTCAAAGTAAGTAGCTCATAAGAAAATATAATTCTGAATCAGAATTTCTGATGTCTCTATATTATAAAATATGCCATACCAAAGTCAATTTTGAAAAGAAAATTGTAAAAACTTTTTAAAAAATGCTTGTTCCTTTCATTCATTTTCCTCCAGTAAAATTTTTTTCCTGTTCTCTTCTTTCTTCAGAAAAAAGTCAACTTTAAGCAAAGATGCTTTATTTTCCCCATAATTAAAAATTTTCAGAAATTAAAAAATGCAATACTTATAAAGTTTTTGATTGCGGACTTGAATTCATATAATCGATTACAATGTAAAATGGTTTTAAAATAATTTGATTATCATTGGTCAACATATCACAGGAAAATAAAACAATTAAGTGATTAAACAGACAATTTTTTTCTCCTTTTATCCATGTGTAAAATTAACACCAATTGAGATTTTAAAAATCTTCTTTGAATATTACTTTTTTTTAAATAGTAAAACACATGCTGATGGATTTCTAAAACTAAATTAGTAAACTCTAAAGACAATGTTTTTTCTTTATAAAATTTTACTAAAACATGCTATTTCTAGTTTGCCATAGCAAGAACAACAAATTGAAGCTCAACAATATTAGAAATATTAAAATTAAAACAATTTTCTGCTACAGCAAATTAGAGTAAATAGTGATCCCAAATAAAAGTAAATAGTGATTAAGCACCTAGCTTTAATAAGAAGCATAGATACTATTGAATACTACAAAAAAAATCTCGTTATTATTATAAGGGAGCTGAATAAAAAGAATTAATTAACATACAATTTTCAAACTGACTTACTCATCAAGTGGTTCTTCTAGTACACCTTCCAATTCATCATCCACATACATATGACATGTTGTGCATGCCCTTGAGCCACCACAGGCACCTGATCAAAAGATTTATTTTAATTAAAGTAAACATAGCAAGAATATTAAAAATAGCTAAAAAGTTATTTTTTATTATTATACTATTTTCTTCCCCTTATTGTATATAACTAATGAAAGTTTATTAATGTATTTAGAAGGTACATATTTTCTGTTATTATTTTTTTAATTGATATTTTGAGAAATAAATACAGAAAGAGTTAAGAGTTTTGTTTCTAAAACTATTAACTTAACTTAATTATTACAGTCGACAAGAAATGTATGTTGAAATTTTTGTATTTCTGCTAAATATTAAATATTTTTTATAGAAAATTTGGATTTAAGTATCTAAAGTAGAATTCTCCCTAGGAATAAAAAAGGCCATGGTGCTTCCTCACAGAAAAGAGCACTTAGAGTTTTGAAAGGGCAGTCACTCAAGACTGTAAGAATTTATCAAAATGTGTAATATCATGTAATAACTAAATTGAATCCTCAACAATTTTAAGTTACCGTGTTATTCTATTTTATGTGCGAATTTTAAAAAATAATTTTCACTCATTTTCTAAATAAGAGAAAAATTTGTAGTTTAAAAATAACAATTAAGGCATACTAAGAGGCAATCTCTGTGCAAAAAATTAAAAGAAAAAATTAAAAAAAAACGTGAACTAAATAAAAAAAAAGTTAACTACAAAAAAAAAATTTAAAAACAGTTTAAAAGATTTTTTGAGATGATTTATTTAGAAAATTATTAGAAAATGAATGTTTAGGTGCATTTTTTGTAAGAAAAAAGGTATTTATTTAAAAAATAATTTCAAAATTTAAAATCACTTAAAAATTTATTAATATTATACCCTTGAAAAAAGAGGAACTTATAAAAATTTAACCAGTTGAGAATAATCCTAAGTAAATATTTGTAATAGTAATCAGAATTAAACCTATAAACACAGATATTTTTTGTGTGTAATTATTATTTCAACAGTTAATTACATTTTTTTTAAAATTAAATATGGATAAAAAAGCAGCAACTTTAAAGGATAGTGGCTAATATTTACAAAAAGGGCAAAGAGGGTACATTTATAGAATCAAAGGGCAGACATGGCAGGCTGCCTTTCTAAAAACGCTGAAGGAGAACACAGTCTAAACAAATAAAAAAATCTAGTGAAAAATTTAAATTTATTTTTCATCTAAATATAAAAACAGGTGATGCATTTAACAATACAGCATTTAATATAAATTCTAAAGAATATCATAGACATTTGTTGCAAAAATATAAGCTTAAACTATGCAACTGTAAAGCATTCACAATATTATGTTGTCAATATAGCAGTTTGTAAATTACTTCTTTTTTTTACTTACAAATAAAAAAATTTAACTTTACTAGAGCACACAAAGAATCATTAGTGCCTTATGCATCCCAAATCCCTTGCCATATCCTCACAGGCACTATATCAAAGTTATTCTTTGTAGGTTTTGATACCAATTTTGATTCATGAAATTTACCATAAACAATAGAACATTGATTATCATACATAAATCAACTGAAATCATTGATCAAATACATAAATTAACTGAAACAAAATCCAAATTGGTTTTTTGGACATATACTTTTTTTTCTCTCCTCCTTTTGCATTAAACTGTTACAAAAAATCGACACCACATAGCTTAAGCCATTCACCCAATATCCATTAAATATTGTAGCTAATTTATGAATACTGTATTAGAATCTGAAAACAGAACCTGTTTATTCATTAGAAAGACCCTACTACAATTTTGTAAATATTTCATCCTACTTAAAAACATAGGAGTATATTATAGTTAAACAAATTAATTATGATAATAAACTCCATACCCGCATTACTGATTTCAATAATAATAATTAAAGAGGAGGTTATTTCACACACTTATAAATAAAGCCATCCTAATTGAAAATGCACTTTAAAATATTTGTTTAACAAAGAAGTATTTTGGCTAAAAACTATTTTCTGTAAGCAGGAAAAAGCCTTTCTAGTCATTGAATATAAATAATGTAAAGTCAGTTTTAAAATTAAATAGACACAACAGAGAGACACTATGCATGATCATAATAATATTAAAATATAATACAGCAAAACCTCTTGGAAGCGGCCACTCTCCCTTCCATAGTATAATGGTTGTCATTGGAGGTTGGTTGTTTTGGGAGGTTTGAAGGTTGGTCCATTGTCTTCAAAATGTTGTCGAAGGTTCATGATTTTTTTAAAGGGTTTTAACTTCAGTCAAGTATAATTTTCTTTGTATGGAAATGGCTCCTGTTGGCTTCATGAAAACCAGATCAATTAATAAATTTTAGTGTCAATAAAAAATATCGCTACTGATATAATAATGTGTAAAAACAAATGTAATGATTATGAATGATAGAATTACTTTAAATAAATTATTATGTTTTTTGTTTAAGTTTGTATTTAATTTTAAATCAGGAAACTTAGTTAGCATTAAAAAATGAAAAGAGGTTTGTTTGTTTCTAATGCTCAGTTTTTTTTTCTAAAATAATTTTTTTTTTTAATTTAACTTTCAACTCTAAAAAAAAATCTTTGACAGCCTCATCTTTAGTGCACTTTCACTGCCTCATGAAATTGTAGATCTCTTTCAAAAATCCTCAAAAAGAGCAATCTAAATGAAAGCCTCACTCAAATATTTTGAATACATTTTAATATATTTATTTTGCTAAATTACATTTGTTGATATTTTTTTGAGTTTCTTTATTTCATCTTTTATGCATTTAGTGCACAGGTTTGTATGATCGTTTTGATGGTCTCTTCTTAAAGCTTTTTTCAACACAAAGTGTAAGGAAAAATTTCCATACCTCTAAAAAATGGTCATAAATAGAGGTTGTTTTTCCAGGAGGTTGCACTGTATATAGGGCTATTATAAATATCAATATAACTACACACAATATAACCACAATATCAAGTAATTGTGGGTCCAACTCAAAAATCCTAAAAATTCATTGAGTAAAATCCTTCAAAAAATTTATACATATCTTTATAAATTTAAATCAATGAAATTTTCAAAACATGATATTCTAAATGAATTATATGCAGCATAATTCAAATGAATAATTATATGTAAGTTTACTTTCATCTCTAATCACATTTATTATTCTACCAGAAAAAATTTTTACAAATGAAAGAGATGACAAGTATAAATTCTAGTTCTAATATTTTTAAATAAAATATACAAGAATTTTTATACAATCAATGATTTCCGGAAACTTTTGGATCACAGTTAGCAAAAACTCCAGAAATCCAGATTTTTTTCCGGAGCACAATCACCCCTGATATAAAAAAAAGGTTTATTTTTCAGACTAGAAAAATATGTAACCTCTTCCCTACTGAAGTATAAAGGAATATAGCAATAAAAAATTGCACAGCTCCGAATTTCTATTTTACTGCCATAAGTCATAATAAAATATGCAAAATATGAATTATACAGCCAGGGGGCTAATAATTTTAGGTACACATACGTGAAACTCAGGTTTGAACTAAGTAAAAGAATAAAAGTATTTCAAAAGTTACATTGAACCGAAAGTAGGAATATTTTATAGGATATTATGGTTTAGTTTAATACAATGATGAATAGCTTTAATGATTATTTAGAAGGAAAAATTTTAAAAAATACAAAGTTTTGTCTAAGTACAATGCAATACTGCATATAATCTCAGCTTAAAAGCTATTTTAATTATATAAACCAAACAAAATAAATAATTATTGAAAAGAATCTAACATTAATTATAAAAAAATACTTAATTCTTGGGGGCAATATTTCAAAATTACAGAAAAAAAAAGTTAAAGTTATTAAATAAATGCGTGTACCTTAATATTAAACAGTTAAAAATATTACTAAATAAATATAAAATTAAATAAAATATTCATAATACTATTAAATTTCCCTTAATTACTACACAGGCAAATGGTTGGCAATTAAAAATAGAGAAAAAGTATGTAAATTATCAGGCCTAGAAGTTTATTTCAATTTCTTAGTGGTATTGATTATATAAAACAACATATGAATCAATAATGGTAGAGTACAAAAATAAATTATCAGAAATAAATAAAAAAAATTTGTTCAAGTTTTAAAAAGTAAAATAATGTTTCAATAAGATAAAATACTGCCAGCATTAAAGTGACTTTCTATCAAAGTTGGGTGAGTTTGGTGACAAATACTGGTTTTCGTCATGACACTACATGACAAAAACCTGTTGAAAATTTTCATAAACTGTTGAAATCCGTTAAAAACCTGGGACAAGTTTATTTTTTGACATTGGAGACATTTTATTAGATACTAAATCATGCAAAATACTTGCATTATATACTACTATAATTAAGATTGATATCATATATCACATATTTTATATGGACCAAAATTATTGAAATACAGCCAAAATAAAGACTATTAATCGGTTTTTCGAATTAAACTTTTAATATTTAACGACCATATTATAACTATTTGATTTATATTACAGGTAATAACAGAGTTGTTAATTACTATCCATCTAAATATTGATTTTAATTCTTTTATGCCACAATTTAGGCAGATTAAGTAAAATTAAAGTGTTTGCCAATAATTGTCTGATCTCAATGTATAATTGTTTTTATTGATTCTCAATATTTGTTGTAATTAATTATATTCAAAAGAGCAGAATATGTCTGAAAGTATGAATAAGGCTTAGCACAAAATTCCGCCATGGGGAAATTTCTGGGAATCAAAAAATTCCAACTTCTTTTTTTTGCTAAGAAATGTGTTACTTTGCAAAATATTTTCTTGTTAAAATAACATATGTTGATATGTGTATTTATTAGTTTGAATTCGCTAAGTTTATAAGTGGAACATTAAATTCAATAAACTACCATTTCTATATTTTGATTTCCATCATTTTATAACAAATATGCTCGTTTATTCAAGAATTGTACAAAATCAGATGGCTTTTTTTCTTGTAGGGGAAAGTCGGGTAGCCCCACCCATTTAAGGAGTATTGCTTATATTTCTGCATAATATTGAGTAATAATCAATATTTTTGCATGTTTCTATTATTTTATCATCTAATTAAATAATGCAAAAAGAATAAGCCAAAAAAAAGAATAGTTTCATTTACAAAAATAAAAATTTAAAAAAGCATGTTTTTCAGCTGCATAAATACTTGAAACTTTGAAAATAATCTTTTTTAAATATAACAATTAATGTCCAATGGCCCATTGACTTGAAAAAATTTTCTATACATATGAAATTGACAGTGGGCGGGGGTACCCAGTGGGCGGGGGTACCTGCTGGGCAGGGCTACCCGACTCTCCCCTATAGACTTTTTTTTCCAAACATATTTTTAAAAGAAGTTACTCTACTAAAAAAAAAATTTACTAAATAAAATGTCATCAAAAAGTGATTTTTTAAAGGTGCAATTCGAAATTTTTCTGCCGTAATAACATTGTAGTTAAAACAACGGGATTGCCAAAATCACGTGAGAAAACAGAAACAATTGCAAAGAAAAAAAAAGAAAAAGAACTTAAATTTACAATTAAATCAGCAAAAATTAAACACATCAAATCGCAATTTAAAATTGGAATGTTGTAATAAAAATGTTAGAATTACGAAAACTATGTGGAAATGCAAAACTGCTGAAAAAAATTATATAAAAATAGAAAGAAAAAATTGAAAACAAAATAAAGACTAAAAAAAATGACTACAATTTATCATAAAATTGACATAAATAAAGAGTCAAAAAATGATTATTTGAATGGGCGAATCGAGACTAGTGTGTTGTAATAATATTGTAATAAAAATTTGGAATTTTTGAAATCATGTTGAAAAGCGGAAATAATTGCTTAAAAAATTGTTTAGATATACTATAAGATCGGAGCAAAACTAGTAAAAGAGTGATTTAGAGGCACGATTCAACTTGGAAATTCTTGATAATATCATATTAAAAATATCAAGGATTTCAAAACTAAAAGAAATTTTTTTTCTGCCGAAAAATAACTTAGGATTTTAGCACAAATAAAGAGAGTTAAAAAGAGATTATTTAAATGTGTGATTTAAAACTCATGTGTTGTAATACAGTGGAAAGTCGCGTATCCGGAATCGGCGGGACTTTCCGAAGTCCGGATAATCGATTTTTCCGTATAATAGACCCCCAAGGTAAACAGAGATTAAAATGATCTGAATCTAAGAAGCAGAAATTAAATAACATTATTTTTCGGGCAATAATGTTTTAGTATTAGAATGATATCTAATCAATCAAAAACAAAATATTTAAAAAAAAATAATTATTGCTATTATAAAAATAAATATAGGAAACTAAAAAAATTTACAGTTATGAAAATATTAATTGCTCTCTCCGCCATTTTGAACTAGAACGTTTCAAGCAAGAAGGGGAAATTCCCGTCATTCATTCATTAAGGTGGGTAGGTGAAGAAGCAAAATTCATTTCCTTCTTACTTGTCATTCAAGTTGAAGGGGGGGAAGTGACAAGTTCTTATTTTCTCTCCTGTCATTGGCTATCAATCAAGCATAAAGGCGTGGCATGCTGATTGGGTTCTCTTTATTTTTTCTTGTGTGACTAAAGGGGATTCCCCCTCCACTTTAAC